GCTGGGCGCCGCGCGCGCCGCCGTGGCGCAGCCGGGGCTCCCGCGCGACCAGCGCCTGCTGCGCGCCGAGGCGCTGCTGGCCGCCTTCTGCCGCGCGATGGCCGACCCCGACGAGCGCTGACGTAACGGACGCGCGCGCCGGCCGGGGCTCGGCCTCGTGGTTCGCTTCTCGCCGCGCCCCGGCCCCGAGCCCCTTCCGTTCGCGCGTCCGGCGCCGGGGGCTCGCCGGCGGGCCGCGGCCGTCGCGCGGTACGTCATCGACGAGCGTAGCGTGTACGCGGCGCGCGTGCGGTTCGCGGCGGGCCGGGAAAGCGCATTCCGGCGGGTGAACACCGTTTCACGCGTACTCACCGGAACCTCGTTCCTGTACCGGTCGCGTTGCAGCTCCGGCTCGCCGACGAGTACCCCGTTTAAATTGTAATTATTTAAAAAGGCGATTAAATAAGACCACCGTACCTAGTTTGTGCTATTCTTTTATTTGTATATTTGTCCTTGTGCCGCAAACCTGATCTTGTAACAAAAAATATAAAATGTTAAAGAGTCAACAAACATTAAACAATATACTCTACGATCGAATCGTCTACGTCTATTTAACAATACGATAACGTGCAATGTCGATCGGTATTCGTACAATACCGCACTTGTATAATCTCAGTAACTTATACTCGTAACGAACACTTATACATAATTCAAAAAGACGCGATCGCTGGGCGCTGGCAATCCTTGGGATTATTTCCTTCTCGCGTAAGTATGACGAATACTGTACGCAAATTGCACCAAGATACAAGTGTTCAAATCATACAAATGTTTCTCACAATTTTGATCACTATCTACCTACTAACTAAGTTTTTGTTAATCTGCCTGACTTTACCGTTTGAAAACATTACCAACCATCCAAAAACTTAAGTATATTGTTCGAAAAATACTTTTTATAACAAGAACTAATATAATTGAAGTGCATAAAATCTTTTACAACAAAATTGACTACGATTCAAATAATCGTAAATTGAAGAAGAAACGTCTAAATGCATCAGCGACGTACGAGCTGCTTTCCGAACGCCAACTATTAGTGTCGCCCGATTGCAGTGGCATGCAGTAGCGACGAGCTCGTGTCGCTTACCTACGCACTTAAATGTTTCCAATTATATTGACGATCCTTTTTGCAATCGGATTCTTTATTCGAATTCACCCTGCATGCACTACACGTACTGCTGCACTAATCGTTGGCAGATGTGCCATAACCGCAAGCAAGACTACTAGTAGGTAGTACCGCGTTCAAACTGCTTTCCGACTGCAATGTAACCATAGAGGAAAAAAGGGGAGATTTGGTATGAGGGCGTGGTTCGTGTCGCCTCGATATGTCCAAAATGCACATATCGAGGTGACACGCCTTCAAACACCGCTACAGTGAAATGGCGATCGTTGTATCTCTCGTAAAACGTGAAAATGCCAGGTGGTACCGATATACCTTGTGAAAATTTTTAATTGAAGTGAAAACAAAAATTTTGAAACCAGTGGGATAACATACCACCGGCTATTTGCATTTCAGTTACTATTTCTATTATTCTTTTTGTCTCCATAGAAATTCTAGACTCAAACATCAATCGTCAATGAATGTTCATTTAGGATGATTGATGTTTATCGATAATTTATTTTTACTGAAACGTTTGAATTTCTTACTATGATTTTTGTTATTAAAGTCCCTAAATGTCGAACCGAAAGCATTCGTTAAATTGATTTCTTTTATTATTATTACTAAACATTTATTTCGAGAAACTTTACAACCCATTTCGGACAGCAGTTTCAATTTTGCTATTTATTTTTGCTATTTGCATTGTTGCTATTGCCTGAAGAAAAATGTACATGTATTATAGTTGATAATTTAGATATTTAAATTCCATTATATTCGTAGATTAAACATGGAGCATTTTTAATTTTCCCAATGAGTTCAAAATAAAAGAAGGTTGGATTGAAGCTGCAGGGAAATCGAAAGAATGGTTTCCTTATTATTATTTCTGACTTTGTTTAAATTTCCATAGCAAATGCATTTCAAAAATAAATAAAATAAAATCGGCTTTATTTTACATGAGTATAAAATACTCATATAAAATCATAAATAAATTAGAAACAATTATAGAAAATCCAAAATCACATAAATTCTTCATAAAAAAAATAACATAATTTATTAAATTCGTTGATTTGACAGCTTAACCAACCCGTGGTAACGTATAATGGAAAACTGAGACTGGCGACGATCTCCATAATTTATTTATTATTCTTATAAAACGGACACTGGCTCAAGACTAGTCACAATGCAACAGTACCATAAAATATTCCATTGTTCATACTATACCTACACTAAGTATAGTATGAACAATGGAATATTTTTTACTATTGCAAAACAGCGACATGGTTTCTGTCTATCGATTAGGTAGACTACAGGTAGGGTCAGTTCAAAAATAATAAGGTTCACAATTCACGGAGCGGTTTCCATCCGCGCCCGCCGGTGCTGCGGGACAGCGGTTTTATTTCAATACTCGCACCACGACGCAAACGCAAGTAACCGTAAAATCCTATGGTTTTCACTTAGGCAAATAAAACGCTGTTCTTTGTACACAACGTGTAAAAAAAGTTCCGACACGCCAAACCATTTCAGAATGTAAAATCGTGGGTCATCTTGTATGGAGCCCTAGTCAGAAATGTCTTGGAGTATTGCTGATCGGTTTGGTCTCCTGTATATAACAGCTACATAGATAGGATAGAGGCTATTCAGCGCAGATTCCAACGATCTTTGTCTGTAAAATTTGGTATACGTAAAACAATACGGGAATATGATGATCGCTTGAGCTACTTTCATATAGTTTCTTTGGAAAAACGTAGGTGGGTGAGTAATTTAAGTACACTGCATAAAATTGCCAATGGACTGGCTGACGGTGGCTTACTAGAGATGTTGTTGTTCAGAATTCCGACTTGGTCTGTGGTAATCAACGATTATACCCCTTACAAAAAATAATGTATCACAAAATAACCCTTTGTATAGGATGTGTGGGTATTATAACGAAATATGTTCTGATAGTGATATTTTTAACTGCGGTGTCCTTACTTTTAAGAGGTCACTTCTTGCATTGTTGTAAGGTAAATAATGTATTCTTTTTGTTTTGTTTTTTTTGTATAATAATAATAAAATTAGCGTCCGTTTAAGTACTTTTGAATCTTGAGCATAGATAAAACTGGGCCCAGATATGCCTACTGTATTAATTTCTAAGTTTTTTTTATATTGTTTGTATCTGATGTCTGTTACTGTGCCATAAATAAATTTAAAAAAGGCACCGCTAGTGCGCCTGCACCACATTGCCCCTGAACCGACCGCCAAAGTGCGCGGGCGACGACAGCCGCCAAGCGCGACGGTGATCGCGTCCTGCGCGGTTCTTCTAGTACCACTACAGGGGTAAAACGCGCCCTGTAATGTGCTACTAATTTTACATACATAGCAATTACATCCTACGGAAAAAAAAAGCTAAAAAGTGGCGACGTCGGAACTCGGAACCCGATCTTCCATAGCGTCATAACATATCTCCCCATTTTCCCCATTTTCATAGATATACTATGAATGTGACAGGTGTTTGATACAGCCAGACTGCAGTTTCGTATGATTGTGTCCTTAAACTTAATAAAAATTGGAAATTCATTTTCGCAGCAAGCATATTACTGTTTAGGTATACATTTGCTGGTATATTTATTACATTCGCGATGGATGTAACAATGTGAATAATCTTAAACAAGCGAGATGTTAGTAGGACAGCGAGAATGATTAATTAGTAGCGCCCCTGCGCAGCGCGACGAACACCTTGGCTTAAATGCTAAGCTTAATTAACGTTGTACCCTTTCATTGTATTGACTTATAAATAATTATTTTTTTCTAATACCTTTTTGGAACTAGGAACTTTGTGTGGGTCACTTCGAAGCTTAGGTTGTCTCGACCAAAAGCACATCCGCCTACTTTTCAGAAGGGTGTAATCTCGGAATAGTCACCATAGAACAATTTAGGCCAGTGGAGGACAACAGTGAATAATAACTACGACGTATTTTTAAATTCGTGGCCCCAGGTTGGTCCGCATTCTGGGCCGAGGTCATGAGCGAATATTCACTTAAGGCGTCTTTCTGTTTCTTTGCAACGCCTGAATTTTTTGCTGTGACCGTAGGCTCAACCATTAATAACAGACTAACGATCACGACAGGTAAAAAATATTCATCTGGGCCATGATTTAAAACTTCTATATACATTTTCCTTTGTACAGCGCAACGTTTCAGTATCGTGTTGAATTTCAAAAATTGTTTAATTCATCGGTGAGTATTCCGGGCGGAGACATTCAAAACCCAAAATAAACATTATTCGAGTGCACCCTGATTTTTATGCACCGCCAGTCGCGTACTTATAAATTTTGAGATATTGAATATTGTGTCGTCCCGTCCCGAACCGTAGAGGCGAATTTACGGTAAAACTTCAATAAAGCAATTTCTAATCACTAACGTGTCAAGCAAAAGACAAGCAGTCTACGTCATAAAGAGGCACTCGTACACGTTATACGTAAATTACTACGTATACTTAATTAATACTTTTTGTTTTATTAAGGCAACAATAGGCGAGTCTCGCACGCTTCGTCCGAGCCTCTGCTAAATAGATATGCATTCCGAAGATAAATGTACTTAATATAAAACGCTTTCCAGCCCGAAGACCATAAGGCGACGCCATGGTCGGGGCGCGGCCGCCGCTCGCGCCTAGTCGCCCATCGTCGTCGGCCGCGAGCCGAAGTCGCGTCGTTCGACGACGGGACTCGGAACGGCGTCGGCTGCGGCGGGAACGAGGGGGCGACGCGGGGCTAGGAGGCCGCGGGCGGCGCGGCGGCCGGCCAGTGCAGCAGCTGCGGCCGCGCCAGCAGCGCCGCGAAGTACTGGTGCGTGAGGCGCGCCAGGTACTGCGACGTGGCGTCGCGCGCCGGCCACCAGCCCTCCAGGAAGCCGATGTGGCCGCCGCGCGCCGTCACCCACAGCGCCACGCGGCCGTCGCCCGCCTCCACCTCGCGCGCCACGTCGGCCAGCACTGCAAGGGCCGGGGCTGAGCGGGGCCGGCGGGGCCGGGGGGCGGGCCGGGCGGGGCGGGGCACTCACCGCGCTCCGGCTGGAAGGGGTCGTCGGCGGCGCACAGGCACAGCAGCGGCGCGCGCACGCGGTGCAGCTTGCCGCGCAGCGTGGCGGCGCGGTAGTAGGCGTCCACGGACGCGAAGCCGAAGTGGCGCGCCGTGAAGGCGGCGTCGAACTGGCGCACGGAGCGCGAGGCCGCCACGCCGCGCCAGTCGCAGGCCGCGGCCAGCGCGCCGTGCGCGCGCACCGTGCGCCGCAGGCTGCGCGCCATGTGCCACGACAGCAGCGCGTTGAGCGGCGGCCGCTCGATGCTGGCGGCGCCCGCCTCCACGTCCAGCGGCGCCGACACGGCCAGCGCCGCCTGCACGCGCGCCTCGGCGCCGCGCCGCGCCAGGTAGCGCGCCAGGATCAGCCCGCCCAGCGACACGCCCACGGCCAGCAGCGGCCCGCCGCCGCGCCGCTCCACGTGCGCCACCACCTCGGCCAGGTCCCCGTCGCTCACGGCGCTGTACAGCCGCGGCGTCTGCGGGCGCGCCCGTCAGTCTCCCGCCGCGCCCGCGCCCGCGCCCCGCGCCCCGCTACGCACCGTCAGCGGCAGGCCCAGCCCGCGGTTGCTGAACACCACGGCGTCGGCGTGCAGCGCCTCGGCCGCGGCGCACAGGCAGCGCACGTAGTCGGCGTGCGGCCCGCCCGTGAGGCCGGGCAGCAGCAGCAGCACCGGCCGGCCCGGCGCGCGCGCCTCGCCCTTCCAGTCCGCCCAGTCCAGCGCCACCTGGCCGCCGTCCGACAGGCGCAGCACCTCGCGCCGGAAGGCCGGCCGCGGCATGAAGCGCGAGCGCAGCAGCGAGCCCAGCACCGTCTGCAGCCGCGCCTCCACGCACCACGGCGTGGGCCAGTACGGCTCGCGCAGCAGCGCCACTTCCTCCAGCGCCTGGCGCAGCTGCCCCGCGCCGCACACCAGTCGCGGCCGCTGCAACGACGCGCATCCTACGTCTTACGCCGCTACGAGTCAACTTTGCCCGAAAAAGTCCACCGAGTACGGCTGCGTTCCGATCTAAACCTTGAACGCTAAATTACCCAATTGAAAAAATATCATTTCAAATAGTGTATAACTACGAAAGCCGTTCCGAGACTGAGACAGATTACCCTTTTAACTGATAACGACGAAACCGGACTATAGAAACTATAATAATAATAAATAAAAATCTTTATTGCATTTCAAAAATTATAGTACAATGAACATGGTTGGAGCCCTCTAGTAAGTAAAATGTACCTGTGTCAGAGGACTCCGCTCTTCCATAAATAGAACTTCAGATACAATTTTTAAAATTACAATTAGAAATTGGTTAGTAATTTAAAAAAAAACAAATGCTTAGTTGTTAATGTTAGTTGGTACAAATGGGTACTTGTTTATTTTACTATTTAGGTTTGAATTCTCCCACTTTACCAATTACGGGTTAGAAGGAACTTATTAAAAATGTGTGTGTGTCGTATGTGAGCGTGTGTGTGTGTATGTGTGTGTATGTGTGCATGTGTATGAGTGTATTTATGCGAGCGTGTGAGTGTGTATGTTTCAGTGTTTGCGGCTACTGATGTCCGAGTGCGTGTGCATATTGTCACGTGATGAACTTTAATAATGCTCAGTTTGTTCATAATTAAGCGTTTTAAGATAATCAATAAGAGTATGTTTACAATTATATGAGTTTTGAGGATATATATTTAAGTGCTTATTAAGTTGATTAAATAAATGAGAGGCCTGTTTTTCATTTTGTCTACTAGCGAAGGTACTATTTGTGCGATGAGATACTCTGAAAGTTCTACGATTTTTCTGGTTATTTTCGCTGTATGGCAACTGTTTGTGAAATTTTAAGGTCGCAAGAAGGATGTATAGTTTTCTCACAGAGAGCACATCACTAATGGAGTACAAACGGTCGGTTGGGAAGCTATACTTCTTAAAATGTATTACCTTCAGCAAAGAACGTTGAGCTCTTTCAACATCAATAAAATGGGTCTTTACAGCTCCACCCCATATGGGGATACAATAGGTTATTATGGACTGCGCCAGTACAATGTACACTCTTCTAAGAAGGTACGCCGGAAGTACATGTCTTAGACTTTTGAAGATCCACGTGAGTTTTCTGATCCTATTAGAAACTGCGTCAATTTGTTGAAACCATGATAATCTTTGGTCTATAATGATGCCAAGGTATCTAGTGGATGATAGTTTTTCAATGTGTGGGCATGTACAGGGATCACGTCTTCCGGGTTCACAGCAATGAGTTTTAATTACAAAATTACTCGCTGGCTGTGAACTAATACATTTAGAAACTATAACTTGTCATTTCAATTACGTGTGTGAGTGTTGCATTGCATTGTGATTTGAAGAACGTTTACAAAATACCAGTCATTAGTAGAGGTTCAAATGAAATTGTAGGAACAGATCTTTTTATTTGTAAAAGATAAAAGAAATATAAATAACAAAATGTGTTGTCACTCAGTTCTCACCCTGTTCTCACAGAGGACCAGTCAAATGTACAAAAGTATTAAGTTTTACACACAAACTTACATAGTTTTTAATAGTAGTTCTAGTGGATGATATGGACTGTATGAAATTGGAGTAAAAACTAAAGAAATGAGCACAAATGTGGATGACACACAAATATAATTCTCGACAGTGACAATCGCAAATTATAAAAACAATATAAGAAAACAAAAACATGACAAAACAGTAGAAAAATAATTTATAATAAAGAGATCAAGACATCCTGCTCGTCATTTACAGAAACATATGTAACAGCAAATGTAACTAACTTAAATAACTTTTATTAAAACAAGACACACAAACTATTTAGATATCTGTAAAAGAGAGCATATACCTACTTCCCCTTGAATTGCGATGTGAAATAGCAGACATAAAGTAGGCTAATCAATTACGTAATGATCCACTAATTCATTTACCTGTCACTCTACAAAATTACAAATTGAAATTTGTTTATATGGTGTGCAAGCAATAACTTTAACAAAGTTTCTGCTCTTTACAATTTTGCTTTGTTTAACACAACCTGTACATACATTTAGAAAGCATTACTTGGTACTTGGTGGTACTTGGTGTAACGGGCTGGTGTCCGTAAATCGACGTCAGGGCGCCTATTTTGCGTGTGGTGGGTGCAGGGTCCTACTCGTGCCTAAGAAAGCATTACCTAATTCACTTTTTATTACTAAAGTGAGCTAATTTGCGTAGTGTTACTTTGCTTCTATAATGTGTCATGTGTATGTGTACAATGTCATTTAGTTGTTTAGTGTTGTCAGTGATGTACTTTGCTATTGTATTTTTATTAGTAGGGAACTGTCTTTATTTATAATTATTAGTTTCTATTACATTACGATACCAGCTGCTTGTACCCTCAAAAATAAAATATATAATGTAATAAATAAACAAAAATGTCATTCTCTTGGTTGATTCATATGTAATCATTACTTTTGTGGATTGAGTGAGCATAAGAAACTATTTATAAGTATTTTAACTACACACTAATGAATTTGAAGATGATAATTTTTTTTATACAAAAACAAGTGTGCATCTGACCTCCATCTCACCTGATGGAAAGTAATAGTAAGGCCGATGATGGAGCATGCACACCTAACTAATTTTCTGGGGTAAATCCCAATGGACAAAATGTTCCGTTTCACACATAAGTAATTTGGGCAATTTATTTTAATCTTTATCACTTGACTTTCTTTCTACTTAATATAATACTGCTATTTTGATTTAAAATTACAACTGCAACAAATATTGTTTGTTTTTGGTACATTATGACAAATTTACTAAAAGAAATTTTGTAACCTGATTGAGAGAGTAGTTAAATATAGTATGCGTGCAAAGTGAAAATTGTAAATGTCACAGAACTCATTATATGTAAAATGGAGTGTAAAAACTAGTACACTAGTACACATACTAGTCTCTTAGATCTGATTGGCCCTCTGTGAGAATTGTGAGCACACATTTAAATTATTTTACTGTTTTATCCTTTTACAAACAGAAAGATTGCTTTCCTACAATAGTTTTAGAACTTCTATTAAATGACTAAATAGTTTATAAACGTTCGGAGAGTGCTCACACAATCCACATTATGTATTTTAATTTAGTATATACTTCATACCTTGTGAGCTATAAAACATGATACGTGTGTGATAGAGAATTTTTATCACGTTCTTGTAGTTACAAAACTAATTAAAAAAATATTTTTACCTTGACAACTTCCACAAGATAATAGGTTACATACAAAACTGATAACGACAAACCAATTAAAAGTTCTTTTTTTACTTCAAAAAGATACATAATTGTATCTATCATTGTTGTCATGAAAATAATAAATAGAAAGCAAACAAAAACACTATTAATTAATTAAAAATAGCAAAATACTAAACATCTGTCTGCTACTTTTTTTATTAAGCGTTTTGGCTTGGATACAAGTCCTGTGTCTCACGTTTTCGTATAATTACCGGGATCCTCATTCAATATTTTCCATGGTGGTTATACAACATTATGTTTTCATTTTCTCTTGAATAAACTACCTACTTCTCTTGTTTGGCTTTTCTAAATAGTCTTTTAAGAAGCGGGAGTCAATATTTATGTTTTCCCTTTCACTTAAATCCTATTATTGTCATTTTGAACAAAAACTTTGAATTCGTAATTATTGAAATTTTCAGGATAAACTCTTTTGTAATTTGGTTTCAAATAAGGAGTATAGTTTTAACTTTCTTCATCACTATTTCTTTCTTCGTATTTTCGTTCGTACTCTACTTAAAATAAAATTAATCTTTGTAAAAACTGTACTATAAAAATAGTACCTTCAAAATAGTACCTTCTACCATTTTTTTTCAAATGTACGTACTATTATAGCTGCTACTGCTAGTTCGCTTTAAATTACTGAATGGGCAAGTCAGCAATGTGCCGTCGGCGATTAGTACGACGTCTTCGACTTCTATTGGTGTCTCGGGTCCATGGGGCTCCCGCCGGTCTTGGAGTGTGGGCAGGTATTCTCGGAGCCAGCGGTTCCAGAAATGGTCAGCTAGGCGTTGACTTGTTCTCCATATTTGGCCGACTAATGTAGCGTCGACGAAGCTGTCCGGCAAGGGCACTCGTGCCAATCCTGCCAATAAGAAGTGGTTTGAGGTGATGGCTTCGGCCTCGCAGGGGTCCACGGACACGTGGGTGAGTGGCCGGCTGTTCACTGTGTATTCTGCTTCGGCCAGCAGGGTGATGAGGGTCTCGTTGCTCTCGTAGTGTAGTGTAGTCTCGTAGTCGAGGTCTGTCTTCACCGACCGCACCAGTCGCTCCCACGCCCCGCCCATGACGGGGGCTCCGGGGGGGATGAAGCGCCATTTGATGAGATGCTTCTCTGCTTCGTTTTGAGCTGCGTCGGCGAACGCCTGGCGGAGTTCCTTGTCTGCGGCGTGGAAGTTGGTGCTATTGTCGGACCAAATTTCCGTCGGGCAGCCGCGGCAAGCGATCATTCGTCTGAGGGCGACGACGGCCGAGTCTCCGTTGAGGCTAGTCACCACCTCCAGATGTACGGCGCGCGTTGTGAGACAGGTGAACCGCATGACGTATCTTTTCTGTGTTGTTCGGCCAACGGTTACAGCCAGTGGGCCGAAGTAGTCCAGACACGTGTAGGTGAACGGGCGCTGGTGATGCGCCAGTCGACAGCGTGGTTGGTCCCCGGTTGGTGGGACTGTTGGCGTAGCACTTTTGATGCGGCACTGAATACATCGGTATATTGTCATTTTCGCGATAGGACGCAATCGTAGAATGCAGTAATGTTGCTTGCATTCGTTCACTGTCGCTTCGACCTCGCTGTGATTGAGTTGTCTGTGTACGTAACCTATGTACAACTTTACGGCCGGGTGATTCCCGTTAAGTACTGCAGGTCGTTTCTGTGAGTCGGTGATATCCGCTGCGGCTTTGATTCGCGTCTTCAGTATTATCATTCCGTTGACAAGTTCGACCGCCAGGGGGCGCAGTCGACTGCGCGTAGACGGAGGCTTGATAATTCGTAGGTCGCGTAGCTTTTCGTAGAAGGCTTCATGCTGACTAGCACACATTATTAATCTTTCAGCTTTTTTCAAAAACGTCGCGTCGAGAGTTTTGTATAGTGTTTTCTTTTCTTCTAGTGTTCTCGGTCGCGGTTTCGGCACGTCGTGTCTTCGGAGTTTTGACCCCTCTGGGTCGTTCTGTTTGTTCTTCAGCGTGCGTTTGTAGTGTGTCGTAGCTCGGCGGAGACGGCAGGCAGAGGTCTACGAATTTAAGGACTCGGCCCATGGTGCGAAGTAGGCGTTCCCATCTGGAGAAGCGTTGAGGCGGTGGCAGCCACATATGTACGGTGTTTTGACGTCTCTTCCTGTTGTCGTGTGTACCGTCCCTTCACTCGTTTCTCCTATGTGCGGTTGACGGGGCCACTCTGGCCATCTCCTCTGGCCATGTTGAGGGGTCGTCTTCCCATCCTATGCCGCGCCGCCAGACTTCTTGTAGAAGCTTCTTCGCGTTGATAGTGACGGGCGATGCGAGATCGAGTAGATCGAAAACTGACATCATGATCTTCGTAGCGGGCTTGTTTGTGTATGTGGCGGACGTCTTTTGCAACTTGAATCGCCACTTCCTCCGTCTTGAAGCTTTATAGATAGTCGTCAACTTAGTGGTGCTTCACTGTTGACCTAACGGCTTCTATATGTTGCTCCTTCTTCGTCGTTGTAGTATCTTCTTCGTCTTCGGTATGTTGATACTTCTGGTCGTTAGTGTTCTTCTCATATATCGCTATTGACGGTGAACACGAAGCTCCGAGTGACGTCATTCTGTATTCTCGAGGTGGAGCCCCGTCGCGTTGATCTCCTCTCCACAGATATCGCAAAACATCTCTGTCCTTTGGGTCGAGTTTGACTTGCATAAACATTTCCTTGATGTCCGTGCTCACCGCGACCGTGTGTTGGCGGAATCGCATGAGCACCCCTGACAGGGATTGCAGTAAGTCGGGGCCGGTGAGTAGGCGGTCATTAAGAGAGACGCCTCGTGTCTTGACTGCGGCGTCGTGGATTATGCGGACCTTCTCGGGCTTCATAGGGTTGTGTAGTGCGAAGTTGGGTAAGTACCAACTCCCTCTGTGATTTCTGCGGCGGTGCAGTAGGCTCTGCGTGACTAGGGCTTCCATTTCTTCATTGTACCTGTTCTTGAATTTTTCATCATTGTCGAGCTTCCCTTCTGTTGTGAAGACGTTTCAGCGTATTTTCGTAGTTGTCGGGTAATAGTGCGTCCTCTTGTTTCCATAGTAGAGGAGTTTGATAGTGACCGTCTCTCGCTGTGGTAGTAGATTTTTCCAGCTGGGCTAGCGCCCGCTCCTCTGGGTCCGACTGTGAACGTTTGGTTTCGACGAGGAGGTTTTCAAGCGCCAAGAATTCGCTCAGCTGTTGGTCCATATCTGCATCGCGTCGGGTGGTGACGTGGTTCGTCGAGTGCACTTGTTTGACGATGCGATGCGCGTGTGTGCGCCGTGTAACACCCAACCGAGCGGTGTTAGGGATGCCACTGGCTGGAGTCGCTGACCTCGACGTATCTCGTTCCCGATGAGTAGGTGCAGTCCCGAATGAGCGTCACCGTCGAGCCATCGTCAAGTAGTGCGTAAGTATGTACTAGGTACTCCCGCCGGTCTCAATATGTCGATGCACTCTGTTTCGAAATGCCTTTAGATCGGACAATTTGAGTGAAGCTTACATGAAGCTTAGCAAGGCATTCGTGTTAATATTCTAAACGCAGGACGAGAACTCCCGTGTGCCAATTTTGTATAGTTTTGGAGAAAATTTAGTTCAAAGTTCTTCGATTTTTATACTTAAAAATTACAAAAATGATTATAACTCTAAAAAAATACCACTAAATATTTAAAAACACCGTTTTAACATGAATTTCAAGCACTATTCGAGTAACTTTGCCGCTTTTCCAAAATACAACCGTAAGTTACGAAAATCGAGAATTTCCTTAAAACGGTTATATTTTTTTTCTTTGTTATTTCGCGTCAGTCGCACCCAGAAATTATTAAAATAAATAGTTAACCATGCATACTATTCTCACAAAAAAAGCAGATGTTAGTGCCATGAGAAATTGGAGATATGCGTGTCTAAAGTTTTTTAAATTCATAACGACTGAAATTTTGTTGGACGCAACGTTTTTAGAGATAGCATGATAAATAATTATTTGTTATAATTATTAATACAAAGATCGAACACTCAGAAAAAATTCCTTCGATCCGGTCGGATTCGAACCGACGTCTTCTTGCATACCGTGCCAGACCCTATACCAACTAACCCACGGAACGAACCAACGGACCTCACGAATTTCTCTATGTGCTTGCGTCGTGTCTTTGTACTTGGTTTTTCAACGCCTTTTTAGTCGTAGCGCCATCTATGAGTAATCTTTGACAGATTTATCACCCAGTTAGTACCTTTACAGCTACCAGTCCTGGCGGAAGATGTCGCTATTCACTGTATTAATTAAATATTTTATTGAATTGATATTCAACTTTTTTTTTTTGTCAAATTACTCCACTAGTTTGTTATAATTATTAATACAAAGATCGAACACTCAGAAAAAATTCCTTCGATCCGGTCGGATTCGAACCGACGCCGTCTTCTTGCATACCGTGCCAGACGCTATACCAACTAAGCCACGGAACGAACCAACGGACCTCACGAATTTCTCTATGTGCTTGCGTCGTGTCTTTGTACTTGGTTTTTCAACGACTTTTTAGTCGTAGCGCCATCTATGAGAAATCTGTCTGTGGTCTGAATACTATAAAGTAGCGTTTCAACAATCATTCTTATTGGCAGGTGTTGTGTACTACCTACTGCGCTCAGGTCTCAAGTTTATTTACCAAAAAACCTAACGATGGAATTCCATTATCATGTAAACTAGTTCATTCAAAGTTATGTTAAAATTTGATTCTTCGAAATGAACCGAATAAAATAAATGAAGATGGTCTTTGATTCAATGTTATTATAAAAAAAAAAAAAAATGTTTATATTCGGCACTATTATACGGCTGTATGATTTCCAACCATTCTTTTTTTGTTTTATAGGTAAACTTGAAATAGTAAAAAAAAAAATAATAAAACAATAAAAACCTGGTAGTGAATTATTTTAATAACAGAATATCGATAATATGTACGCTTCCAAGAACAACTATCTCAAAATAATCAAACCAAGCAAGAAACCAAAGCAAAATTTGGCAAAATTTATGAATAAACTACTTAAATATGTCTAATTACATGAGATATTTGGGCCTTTGTGTGATTTATACACAGAAAAATAACACGTGCCTGGACAATGTTACATTCGGTCGATCTTCGTTTTTTCAAATGCCACATGCCGTAATGCTGTAGCGACGAATTTTTATTAATACTTTTCTTTTTTTTTATTAATTGTTCTCACCTGTCATGTACTGCGAAATGGACACGGTTGGCATTTAAAATGACGTTACGTATTTTCGATTGCCGTGTTTGACACAGACCAATGTAATGCTATCTCTTTTGGCTTGAGACGGCATGCAAGAGTTAAACAAAGATAATAACATCAACAACCATGGTCAACCGTAATCATGGGACCTGTAAAGGGCCCGAAATGTCGGTTTGTTTGAAAAACAAATATACGCGATTTAAATCCGGAAAAATAGTTTCATTTCCTAAGATAATAACAAGTTTTGTTTTCAACGTCGAAATGTATCATATACATATTGTACGAGCTGCTTGTCTCGTACAGTAATATGTCAGAATATGTCAGGTGATATCAGCGAGATGATGCAGGGAGATGTCAAAGATGCTGTAGAAATAATACTCGACCGATACCACGGAGTAACTTTATTGTACTGAAAATTATAATTTATACATATTGCACGTGCACAATGTAGGGTGCGACGTTGCATATTGTCAGTTGCACAATAATGTACGTTGACCCGTACATACTCCCGACACACAAGGAAGAAATAAAGTAAAAATGTCATTAAAAATTGTAAATATGCAAAATATAAATCCTATAAATTAACAATGTAAAATTTTTAAATATTTCAACTTAAAATATAAAAACTGTTCTTAAATATTTCACTTACATGTCACTATAAATTGTCAACTTAAAAATTTAATATAAAAACAAATTAAGAGCAACAAAAATATTAATTAACTAGGTTTGTAGAATTATTTAAATCGAAGTGAATTTTCTTCGGCATCGTTGGCGAGGTACCGGTGTCCACACTCGCCATGGAACCTCTCAATGCGCTAGTCATTCTTCCGGACGGCAACATAGAGCGTGGCGCAGTGACTATTACGTCAGTGAGTGACGTCTCATCCATCGCAGAGAGATGGGTAGAACTATGTTGCGCGGGCGCTCTTTCTTGCAGGTTGCATCGCTTAGATTTTATGTAGCATCCTAAGATCCCAAGTAATGATAATACTAGTCCAATGATGCTTGTGTAGATAATAATGTAGTGCGTGTTATTGCTGTTGGTAAACTGTTCTAGTTGTTGTTGCTTCATGATGTCAATCTTCTGTTGGATTTCTTCAAATGTTTTTTCATGGTTTTCAGGAACAAAATTGTCAGGTAATGATATATTCATGATTTCGTTCAATGATAACTGAGTGTCTTGCATGTCAAGGGCAACAGTGGGACGTATATTTACTTGATTGATATAATCATGCTGAGAATATATCAAAAACTTATCTCCTTTAATCACACATCCCGGTTCCGGGCTTAATAGTCCATTGCCTCGTAATTGTTTAGTTGTTATTTCCGACGACCATATGATTCGAACGCGGCATTCGATGCAACATGAGTATAGCCATGTGTCGCGTGCGTGCAATTTGATCCACCTATCAGCACATTTCTTTGCGACAGGTGTGCAATATGGTTTGTTTTCATTATTTATTTGCATTTGTAAATCGCACAGGGATTGCCCCATGGTCATTGAATATATGGGCTGATTCACCGGGCAAAACATCTGTTGATCAGTGTGATGGATGCAGTGTTGCATGTCATTTTCTGTCATAGGTATTAGCGTATCTTTTTTAACATTCACCGCTAAATATTTTGTTGCGGTGGTTGTATAAACAACGCTTCCCTGTTTTCTTTGAGGCATGTCAATAATCTTGTTTAACTCGAAGGAATCGCGGTTTAAAAGAGGTATATTTATTTCGATGATCAGTAAGTTTCTAGTCACTCTTGCTTTCACGTGCAGGAGACCATATAAATCTCGTATATTGTCAGTTGGCAAGACTAGGTCACTTTGCAATTGTGCTGATATGGTGTTTAACTCTTGTTGTAGTTGCTCTGGTTCCAACATATGAATATTCAGACGACTATGGTAAATGTCAGTAACCATTTCTAATAATGAATCTTGAATTCGGCGAATGTTAGTCAATATAACATTAACTGATATCAATGATGACATAATATGAAATGCTTGTAAAGTATTTTGGTTCGCCTTTTGTATTCCATTCATTTCGGAAGTTATAACTTTCAGATGCTTGTAGATATAATCGAATTGGGTGTTCATTAACT